ATTATAATAAATTAAAGACATACTACAAAATGTTATAAATTCTACAAAATATTTCCGATAAAACATTTCATAATAAGAAAAGTTTACGGTTGACAATAAATTTTTTATATATATATATATATATATATATATATATATATATATATATATATATATAATACATATATATAATAAATATATATATATATATATATAAATAATATGTATATATTTAAAAAATTATTGATTCCACATTCAAGATATTTAATTCATCGATTTAGTAGTATTTTCACATGCAATTTGGAAAATTCATCTTATAACAAGAATGCATCATGCGTGAATAAGAAATATACACATGTAATATTTTGTATACAAATATAACGAAAGTAAAATGCATACCATTTAAATGGCAATTTCAAAGATTACTATTGTGCTACATAACAATATATATGTATATATGTAAACAGAGCTTAAGTTTGTTGACCAAATTGTTATATTATACTGTCAATGAACAAATTATTGTTTGATTACTTTGTTTGATGCAGATTAAATCTTAATAAGTAGTATTACAAATCTTATTTCTTAAATTTCCAATAAAAATATTTATTTAAAGGAAAAATGCATGTATCAGATAATGTGCAATTTAAAGCATGCATTGATCAAATATGAAACAACATACATAGCTAAAGCAAATTGCATAGAATATTTTTACTAAATAATATGTTGATAAATAGTGGATAAAATAAACATATAACCTTCTATATTGAAAGTTTTAAATAAAAACGTGATAGAAACAAAGACAGAACATTTGAAATTAATAATGAAAATTAATCTGTATTAACATAAATTTTGTGATTTGAGAACAAATAACTTTAACTGCATTATAATTTGTTTTTATGGCATGCATTCTTTCATAATAAAATCAATATAAAATTCAATAGTAAGTAGACATATGAATTAAAATCCTCATGATAATAATAATGCATAAATAATTAGTATTTTAAGTACAAATCAACGTACAAATGTGACGGACACTTTTGTCGGTACTGTAGTAGGAAGACCAGCAACACCTTCTTTTAAACTTGATCTATCAGGACTAACAGGTCGTGTATCACGAGCAGCATCCTCTAATTCTTTTTGCATCTTTGCTTGTCGTTTCCTGTAAAATAACATATGAAATTTTTATTTTGTTTAAATATAATAAAAGTTTTGGAAACATCAAAAACAGTAACAAAAAATGCAAAGTTTAGACACCTGCATATCATAGTTACCATACACCATTGTTCTTATAGTTTGACCTGAATTTTTAAAGAACTATTATAAATATATGTGTATGTGTATATATATTCATATGTATGTATACATACATCTCATGCAAATTGTATATTGAGCAAAGCATATAATTAACATATTTGTTTCCTGTGTCTCTTAGTGACTTTTCCCAGATTAGTAGTTTTAAAAGTATTACTGCAGAAATATATTTACATTCTTATCTTATCAGTACATTTATTAAATTATTATCCATAAGGATAAATATTCCATTTTAAACACATTTCATATCAGTACATATCTTTTCAAGTTTGTTTATGATCACCTAAGATATATATTATATATCTTATATATATATATATATATATATATATATATATATATATGTATATATATATATATATATCTTATATATATATGTATATATATATATATATATATATATATATCTTATATATAATAAGAATTATTAGATAATTAGTTTTCTTAAAATAGAGAAATTGATACATACAATGATACAGTGCAGATTGCAATATAATAAATTAAATGGCAACAAAAACTATTTGCAGGTAAAGTATGATTATTTATGAAAACAATATATACATATACTGTATGTACATATTTTTCATAAACTTTTGTAACATGATACTTTTCAGCTGTCGACCAAAAGCTATTTAGCTTAAAGCGTAACATTTTTCACTTCATTTTATTAAACTTACCCAAACTTTGATATGGTATGCATCAAAAAGGCTGTCGGACTGGTAAAACTCTCACTGAAACGAAAATTTCAAACAGTGGAAAGTGCTAGTGTAGAAAGCTCTAAAAATACTAAATGTTGTTTTTCTGCTAAAAACCCCATTACTTTGAATATTATTTCCACTGTATTAATATTGATAGAAACATGAATTTCTAAAGTACCTCATGCTTTAAACATTAAACTAAAGTAGCAAAGCACTTAGTTAGTTTAGCAATAAACAATAATTTTTGGTGCAGGCAAGATAGTGCAATAAATATATATATAATACAAATATTACAAGAAAGCAATATGTATTACATTAAAGTTCTCTCCACTTGATCTCTATCTTGTATTTTAAATAATATGGTAGATATTTAGAATATGGAAAATAAAATTTGTTCATTACTATAAATTTGCATTACGTACATACCTTATCTTATAAAATATCTTCATTTAATTATATTTTGCAAACAAACTTGAAAAGACTTAAAATTGGAAAATTTTTTATATTTTAAAATATTTCATTTATGATATATATATTATATGTGTATATATATATATATATATATATATATATATATATATATATATATGTCCTGTACAAGAAAACATTATTATATATTATATTATTTGCCCATTATACCACAAAAAATACCAGAAAGATTCAAACATACAAAAAAGTATAAATCCTATGAACGTATTATTATGACTATAATTACAAGACATAAAAGATTAACACTTATTATGCAATATCAAAAACGATATAAACAAAATAAATAAATACAAGTGGGAGTAATGGATACAAACATATTTACAAATACATATCTCTAGATTTTATAAAAATATATGTTTATCTCTAGAGTATGATATTGTAATCCGAATAAATGACTGTGAATATTATGTGAGTAATTACATAATAAAGCTACTTACTTTAAAAAATTATCATTTTCTTCATTCATTTTCTCTGCATCTCTTGCCTTGTATTTAATCAAACGTTCTACCAATTGACGATTTTCTTCCTACAAAAAATTCAAAATGTGTAAAGAGCACTATTTTCATAAAGTTCATATAATTTTATAACACTGTATAACATACTTGTGATTTCCTGAGTTTATCTTCTAAAGATGCAAAAGCAAGTTGCAAAGCTTGATGTTCATCTTTAAGCATTTGATTTATACTTTCATATTCTCTTTCTCTGTTTACATATTTTGTTATTTCTAAATGTAAAGCAGTGTTAGTTTCCATAGATTCTGCAAGACTGAAGAAAAAGATTTTTATTTGTTATAATGATTATTGCCATTCTTGTTATATTATGAAATATATATTTTCTTTATTATTATCAAATAATTTTAAGGTTTATATATAAAAAAAAAATTAAACATTTACCTTGCATCTTTAGCATGTAGTTCTTCTATCATTTCTTGCATTTTCTTATTAAGATCTACAATTTGTTGCATATGTTCTCCATTTTTCCTATGTAATGCAGTTAATTCTTCAGTTTGTTTCAAAAGGCGTGCTTCATGAGCTGAGCTTATACTTGGGCTTATACCAGGACTTCTGTTGCCGGTTTCACGTCGTAAATTTTCATTTGATATCGTCAGTTGCATATTTTGACCACGCAGTGTATTTACATTTTCAAATAATCTATTATCTGTTCAGAAAGATCATCATTAATCGTACAGATATCTTATTATTACTTATACACATGTATAAAAAAGAAATATAAAGTATAGACAATTTTTATAAGAAATATACATTAAATATAAATCATAAAATAAACTTATATGCAATATTTAAATCAAAACTCTCTTAAAACATTTAACATATTGAAAACCATTATACAATAATATAAATTTCTATAAAATAGAGTAGGGGCAAAAAAAACATTGACATTGTTATTAGATAAAAATAAATCTTACGTAAAGTGATGAGATCAGAAAAACAAAACGTTTCAGTTCTGTTTCTATCGCGAAGCTGTGAGATAATGTTTTTCCTCCAATTATTGTCATTTCTGGAGATACATGATTGTTCCAATTCGTGAGTTGCCATTTTTCTTTGAATATACACGTTGATTCAATCTTGATCAATTCCGTTTTTTTTAAACTTCGATAGTGATAAACTGATAAAAAAAGGTATGAAAAATATTTTGACAATCCTCACTCCATAACGCATGTAATTTTTTCACAAAAAAATGTCAACCGTGCACTGTAAAATTGTATGTAAACACTCAAACACCGTAAACGTTTAAATAACTCATAACAATGTTATGACATTTCAATTATATCCTGAAAAGATTTTAATTACGAAAACAACTACCCTAACCTAAGATACCAAACACTACACATCTACTCTGAACTTTGACGCATATCGAGGGATACGATGCAAGCGCACTTCGACGAGAAGTTGATATATCGAATTATCAGTTGCACGTGCCTGTAAGCTTAAGCCCTTTGTAAATCTTTCGAAATAGTTTGCGATAGCGTAGTAAAACGTTATTTAGGCGTAGAAGCGTACTTCAATCACTTAAAACACGAACTAATAAATAGTACTTGTTAAACTCATATGTACGCATATATAATAGTCAACGAATCGTAATATCAATCAAAATAAATATAAGTGTATATTCAGAATCATCTCAGACGATAATCATAATTTACAAAAATACTTTGAGGTAGAAAAATTATTTTTTTATCAATTTAAATTCTTTTATTATTCACGCTTAAGTAATTTGCACATAAAAAAGTCTGCTTTTTGTTTGCTAAGTATTAACAATGGCTCAATGGCTCAATAAATTTATGATGAAGAATAGAAAGTAACATCCTTCATAAAATAAGCCGATATATTAATATTTAAGATATATTTATTTTCATTTATTTTTATCTTTATTAAAATATTAAAAGCATGTATAAAGATTTCGTAAAATATTTAAGAAGTATGAATGTGTACAAGCATGTGCGTGATATACATGATCACGTGACAACGATTGGTAAGTAAACAACCAATCAAATTACAATCTCTGTAATGTTTTTCGTTTGCGCGCCATCAAAGCAGCCATTACTCTATTGTTCGTTACTTAAAAAAGGAGCACTTTATTTTTTCACATATTTATATAGAGATAATGTTAAGAATTACGGAAAGTGAACTTTATTCTTGCACAATTTTAATAACTTGTCAAGTTTTGATTCTCAGTGTTTCTATATTTTTCTTAATACACTGCTCATAACAATTTCAAGAAGACTGTGATTGTGCATAGATGTTTTTAATTTTTTAAATATATTTAAGTCGAATCAATTGATTTTTATGGATTTTTATTCTCTTTATTATTAACAATATAATCTACATTTTTATTAATTATCAATATTGGAATTGGTAAGTGGTTATGCTGAGAAACATTATCCTATAAGAATATACAACTAGTGCCCTCTGTCACTTAAAACTGCAAAAAGGCAGTTTGCAGAATAGGTTAGAACTTTTTCTGGTAGATTTTTATTGCAATATTTTATTATATAAATTGTAGTTTATATCACGACTTTTGTACACAAGGCACTAATATTCGTCTAGAAATTGTTTCATTATCATAGAGCAAATATGTATTTATAAACAATTATAAAACTTGGATATGTGTTACATAGTTCTACATTCTATCTTAACCTCTTACATTTGTTATCAAATCGAATGAAAAACAGCACGATTTTATATAGCATAATATGTGTATAATTTTTTAACATAGGAACAGAATTAAAAATCACAGAGATGCCAAGAAAAATAGTCGCAAAACAATGTTCGAGCCAAGAATCTTTGGCTTTGATACATCAATGTGAAGGTCATTCTAACCGAGAATGTATACGAAATGACAATTCAAAAATTGTTATGCGAAGGTTTGATTTTACTTTAAAGTATAAATTCTTTTTTATTAATTATCTAAACGATTAGGGAAAACAAGCGAGATAATATTAGAGCAATGAAAATGTTTCATGTGTTGCCATTATTCTCTATAAACTTGTTGAAAAAATAAATCTGAAGAAATTTACTGGTACTACAATTTTAGAAGGAAGATATATGAGGTATATAATAGGAGGAAAATTCTTTCTAAGTCAAAACGTAGCAAAATTCAAAAACTATCCCATTGTAACAAAATTGGACCTTTAGAATATGTCTTTTATTCTATCCTGAATACAAGTTATAATATGGATCAAGGAACTGCCACAGCTGCGGTAGAAACAGAATATATATTTTCTTTGTTCTGATATACTCGATTATCTCTTTATACAAATAATTATGATCTTTCGATCTTCTATAATATATCTATATTTACAAAGTATATTTGTATTTTTAGATAGCACGTGGTTTAATAGCATTGAATAAAAGATTAGATTCCAATAGCATAACAAGCTATTATTTAGATAAATGGTCGCAATCTGGGTTAGTAATTTTTCATATAACAATGTACGAAGGTGTATTAAAATTATATTTCTTTAACTTTTGCAACTCTATTCGCAGAGAGAACATAATAATTTTGGAAGGCGTCAATAATAAACATTTAAAATATCTTTACAAAGAAGCTAAATATTCTGCAATTGATTTGCACTTTTTACATCAATGGTGGTCAAATGGAAGAGACATCATAGTGTTAACAGTGTTTGGGCTACAGGAAAATCTACAAGAAATTTTTGAAGGATTATTACCTTTACGGTAAAATAAGAGTCATTGATTAGCAATACATACGGATGTATGCATTTGTACAAATATCTTTTATTTGTACTTTACAATGAGATGTACATGTTATATTTTTTTATAATGCACTTATTAGAAACCTATTGTAATAACTCAAAAACAAAACTTTTTTGAGTTAATACATGAAAATATTAATAGTGGAAGAATTGAAAGTATCTAAATTGATCACATCACGCAAACATTCATGCAATATAATGATACTCGCACCGACTGCCGATATATCCAACATCCTAATCCACATTGACTCCATGTATCGGTGATACGAATTCTTTATGCATTCGCCGTCGCATTCTTTATGCAACCTGTTCTGTATATTAATTAATTACAAAAATGCGACATGCATTCTAGTAACATTGCGTACTGAGAAAATTAACGAAACACAATAACAATTATATCAAGAAAGAAATTTTCTTTTAAGTAATACTTAAAAGTTATCGGTATTAAAACTTTCGTAAAATATATTGAATTTTATCATCCGAGCATTTCAGAACTAGACAATCTAAGAAAATCGATTAGATTTTAATTATAATCGTTCATTTGTGATATTATGAGAAGATATAGAAAAAGGCAAATAGAATGAAGGAACAGTAGCAGTAGCAACGGAAGAAGAAGAAGAAAAAAAAAAGAGCCAAAGAAGAAAGGAGCTGTCGTCGCAAGGTGCAAAAGGCTATCCACAGGCGAAGAAGCGCCACGCCCGCCCCTCCATGCTCTGCGAAAACCACTCGGCTCGTCGATGGTTGGTGAAGAAGGAAGGGGAGAGAGAGGAAGTTAGTCGTTTAGCGCAGCCGCCAGCCGCGTTTTATGCAACCAGTCGTGCTTCGGAGCGAACGAATCTACTACCCCGGTCTCCTTTGACAGACGGGGAAGCGCGTGCGGTTCTCGTACCAACTCCTACACCGTATCTGAAGATCATAAAATTGACTACGTTCCATTCGATTCGAGTACGTACGAATCATATTTCCGGTGATAACCATCGTTAAGAGAAACGTAATTCTCGTGAGATATCCTTATCGAATTCCGAGGAACTTTGTTCTGTGAGCTGTGCCAGTCGTGTAGAGAGACAGCGTTACAGTATACGCGCGTTCTAAACCTTAACGAATACGATATATCGACAGTGAAGAAGGTACTAGGAACGTAGGCGAAACATTGGAGAAGAAGGAACGAGTAGATTGTCGAGCGAGTATTAAAGACAACGGGAGTTAGAGGAAGGCAAGGTCGTAGAAAGGCGGTGTCGGTGTTGTGTTTCCAATAAACCATTAGGTAGCCCCTCGTGAAAGAGAGAGAGAGAGAGATATATATATATATATATATATTCTTTGAAGACCTAAAGAGACGAACGTATTTGGAAGCAAGACAACACTATCTTCTTCTTATTCTTCCTGTATTCTCTATCGACGGAGAGACAGCCTAATAATCGCTTCGAAGGTGCCAGTGAACGATCTCGTGCAACGAGAATCCCGATGTGTCAACGCGGCTGCATTATAGCCACTACTACTCTGTGCCTCGCACTATCTAATCCCGCCGCGTATACGTGCGTCGTCCTCGTCCGCGTCGTGTGACGTGTGCGTGAAGAGAAAAGAGAGAGAGAGAGAGAGAAAAAGAGAGAGAAAGAGAGAAAGAAAGAAAGAGAGAGAGAAAAAGAGAAAGGAGCGGGCTTGCCGGCACGGAATACACAATAGAGCAAGAGAGGCGTCTCCATAGGCGGACGTGAAGACGCGATACGAGACTGCGTTCACGCCGTACTTTCTTTCTCGCTTCCTCTCTCTTTGTGTTGTTTTCTCTCTCTCTCTTTTTCTCTGTACAGTAACTCTTTCCAGTCAACAAAATAAAAAAATAAACACAAAAACAACACGCAAAGAGAAGAGAAGAGAAGCGAGCATCGAGAAAAATCAAAGAGGAAACAGCAGCACCATCAACGACGACGACGACGACGACAACGACAACAACGAGTACGAGAACGAGGAAAACGACGATAACACAACATCAACAACAACATCAACAACAACAACAACAACAACAACACTAATAATAATAATAACACAACGACGACGACGACGCCAACGACGACGACGACGTCGTCGGCCGAGAGAGGCGCGTGTACGCGCGCTCTACGAATAATCCAGCTTTCATACGACTTATCGTAGCTGATTCTACTGCTTTCCTTTAAAGAGAACGTCAAAGCTATACTCAGAGCCGGTCGACTCCTTCGACCTCCTCGTCGTCACTATGGCGGACGACGAGGTTCTCTTCGACGAAGTTTACGAGCTCTGCGAGATTATCGGCAAGTGAGTAACGTGAGCACGCGAGGGCGTGTGTGCCTCTACTTGCTTGCTTGCTTCCTTCCTTCCTTCTTTCCTTCCTTTCTTTCCTTTCTTGTTCGCTTGCTTACTTGCTTACTTGCTTGCTTGCTTGCTTGCTTGCTTGCGTATGTGCGTGTTGGACTAGCTCGTTCGCTCGCACGCGCACGCGCACGCGCCCTCCAACACTCCTATGAATATACCTGTAAATTGAAGAGAGAGGGAAGACGGAGGCGCGAGAATGAACGGCGCAGGGGGTGTGTTCGAAAGGTTCGCCTTCTATGCGCTCATGCAGCTTCATACAACGCGTTTTATCGCGCGCCCTTCATTTCCTCCTTTCCTCCCTACTCTCTTTCTCCTATATATCTATCTTTTTCTGATTTTCCGCATCCTATCCACGTTCATATATGCATATACATATACGTACGCTCATACGTACGCGATCACAAACGAGACCAGAACTCTCTCATATATCTACATACGTATGAGCGTTGATTTCTTCTTTTAATACTTTCGATTTTTATACTTTCAGCTTTTTATGTCACTAACTGGACGGACTAATGAGCTCTTCTTTTAAACGTACTCTCATATGAATTTCTCTTTTAATAATACCCATGATAGAAGATTATCTCGAATGTTTGAGAATATTGAAACGTCAATCGAATCGATCCTTTGTTTGGTTGCGTTGTTTAATAGAAAAGAGAAAAATACTTCTAGGACTTTCACGTTGCGAAAAGTATTGGCCCCTGTTATACTATTGGTGTCAGAAGATATAAAACTCAAACGATTAACTCAATTTGTTCACTTTAAAACTGAGATATTTGACATTGGATACCTTTCGAAACATTTTAGCATTTATATCGAATGTCGATAGTAGATTTGTCATCGTTATTGGAGATGTCTTATTTTTAAATAGTGAATACGATGTCTTTTATTTTTCATTACGTCCCGACGCGTTATTAGAATAGACCAACGCGTCATAGTTCTGCGCTAACTAAGTTTATTTTTATATCGTCTATCGTACGTAGTTTAACTCACGATGATTCGTTCAGTAGAATTTATAATGAACTAATTAAATCCGTTCATTATATATATATATATATATATATATATATATATATATATATCGTTCGTTCGATTATATATCAAACTTTAGAAATATCCGAAATATTTTATCATCTAAATTCATTGATTAACCAGCACCGAGATAGAAAGTGAGAGAGAGAGAGAGAGAGAGAGAGAAAAAGAGAGAGAGAGAGAGAGAGAGAGAGACGTTATTCAAGGGTAAATTCGTTCATTTAACCGAATAGATTCGACTGCTCGTGCATGGATGAGTAATCAAAGGCTCGACGAACTTGTACGATTCGATATTTCTATCGATTTTACAGACAACAAAGAAATATTCGAATAAACTGCAAGCATCGTTTGCAATAGTTTAATACGCTTCTACACTCTCGAATAAGAGATGGTTTAATATGTTCTTTCATTATTTGCTATAATATATTAATAAAAAAAATTTGAATATTATATTATATTCCACCAATGGAAATGATATACGACTGATATACATATAAGTATATCAAGTTATATAAGATATATATGTATATATATATATCTCCTTAATTAAATCGTATATCTAAAAGCGTTAAAATTTAATTATCAAAGACCATATGTTGATAACATATTGTTTACGAATCGCTAACGATGCAATTATATATACAATTTGAACATGAAATACTCGGCATGGTAATAGATAATTAGTTAGTATAATATGTGACATATTAGCTGTATTCGCTTTTCATATTATATTTCATAGTGGTTGATTGTTAATCGGGGAAAGATAAATACCATTGGTATTTCTTGATTTATGATACTACAACATGATCGTTTAATATTCCACATGGATACTCTTTAAAGATCATTGACCTCGGTCTTTGGATTCCATTAAATTAATTCTCTACAAGTAATTATTATAAATTACAAAGATAAAAAATGAAAGAAAAAATAGTTGCGTTAAGAACGGTGGGAGTCAAGAGGCACTTTGTCGTTCACTTATCTGAAATTTTATATCTAAATGTATAGTGTACATTAACTCTTTCTCGAGATGACGGCCGACGAAACCTTCGCACCCTGGCTCGTAGATCTTCATCCGAGTATCGCCTTTGAACCCATCAATTGAACAATGTACGAAGTATTCTTTGTCAGACGCGGTCAATAGAGGTTGAATGCACTGCATTCCTTTATGAATGAATAAAAGCTCGGTCCAGTGAATCGTGTTCCTCTTAGACTCTTTTTATATTTGTATTACAATAAAGCGATCGAGCTTTCCTCTCGTTCAAGCACTTTCTTTTATTCTCTCTTTCTCTCTCTTTCTCTCTCTCCTTCTCTCTTTTTCTCGAAATCAGAAATTAGAATTAAGTACTTATATATGACATTACTATTACGATCGATCGTTCATCAAGAAAAAAAATCTTCCCTCTGATCTTTCTCACTCATCGACATCGTCAATATTTTCGTTTTATACACTCGATCTTTTTCGTTTATCATAAATACTGATTTTCTTATACGAATATATCCAGAATACTATAGAGTGTGACCAATTTTTCGTTTACGTTTCATCGAATGTCATTAACGAGTGCCCTTTGCTTCTCACGTTTTCGTGTATTCCGTAAATGGGCTGAACAAATAGTAATTTTTCAAACGTTTATTCGAGTGGTATATTTACATTTTGTCGTTTCGTCAAAGTTAACAATCTGAGCGTGTGAAAATGAAATTGAAACTCGCCATTCAAATGTGTGTTTGTGTGTGTATGTTTAGATTATATAGATAGATAGATAAATAGATAGATAGATAGATAGATAGATAGATAGATAGATAGATAGATAGATAGATAGATAGATAAATAGATAGATAGATGTGCTTGTACATAGGTACATATATAGATGATATAGTAACGAAGAAGGCTGTAAGATAAGTCGATGGTGGAAAGGTAATCGGTAACGAAATTATCGAAATGAAATTTCCTCACACTTCTTCGTGATAAACTCAAAATAGAGAGAGAGAGAAAGAGAAAATCCTGGAAAAACTCAAGGAACATAATAGTGACAAGGCAAAATCTCAATGTCGACACGTATAAAACGAGATACGGCTAAGCATGCACTGCTTTTACGATGCTCGCCCTACTTTTCTTCTCTTCTCTCTATCTCTGCCTTTCTCTCTCTCTCCTTCTCTCTCTCTCTCTCTCTCTCTCTCTCTCTCTCTCTCTCTCTCTCTCTCTCTCTCTCTCTCTCTCTCTCTCTCTCTCTTTCTCGTCTTGGTAATTCTTACGAAGAGTCATACAGAATACCCGTTCTTCAAAACTCAGGGTAAATACTTCCTCGTGGAATTTGTCCTTGAACTTAATTGCGCTAAGGCTATCTTCCTCATCAGATTCAAGATTCTTTATGAGAGAACGCGTTATCGCAATTGTTCTCTTTTCATTTGTTCTCATTTTTTCGATTTTTCTTACGATCATAGTTTTCAAAACTTGCATGTGATCTTACGTATTTAATAGGAATACTACATAACGTGTAGATATATATATATATATATATATATATATATATATATATCTACCGTCGAAACGTTCGAAGCGTAGAAGAGAAGCTTTTTCAGCTTTCGACGTAACACATCGATTTCTTCTGACGTCAATACGAAACGTCTCGTTTATCCGGTATACTCGTGAAGTTTAGCGAAGAAGCTCATCTTTGGCTCGAGGAAGCATTATCGCGGTATCGTTATACAAACTTGCCAATCGGTTCGTCGTTAATAACTCTTTATCGCAAAAGACGGCGAACGACGCGTAGTTACTTTTCTTTAAGCTCGCTTTAGTAAGCTGCCAAGCATGAAACGACGCAAACTGATGATAGACCTAGCAATTGATAGAAAGGGTACAATTATTTTGGATATAAAAGGAACAAAGTTCAAACGATGGTTTTCTCTCTTTTTTCCTTTTTTTTTTTTTTTTTGTTATCGTAGGTGTGTTGTCATTTTCCATGGGCAAACAGCACGTAAAATTAATTGTTTTTCCATTATACCAGATGCAATTATTGTTTGAAAATATAATAGTTATATGTATACACTTCTACATAAATACTCCCTACCTATATGTACATCGTAGTAATTATTTTACCGTACGGTGGCACATGGAATGGATGTCTTCGTATGAACTGTAATAATTAAGAAAACTTTTCAATCACGAACTGCTACGATATCAGCTGAATCAATTTTTCGCTATTCGTTATTTCTTTTAGTTCCAATAATTAGCACGATAAGACGTGACACTTGCGATAACACGATATACATTTATTTACAGCTTTCTTTAAAATGTATATTATTAATAAGAATGTCGAGGAATTAGGTCAATCGTATTAACTTAAGACGTAATCAGCACGTATCAAAGATCAAGGGCAATAATCGAATGTATCAACTAAAGTAAATATTCTTTTCGACTTTTTATTTTACAAAGTATTCAAATGTTTTTGATATTATTCTTATCGATTCTTATGTTAGCAGACCAACGATTTTAAATTTAAGAATAGTCGGACTTTATGTAGATCGTAGACAGTACACACATAAAAGATACCGGCTTTGATATCGTTTGATTTCCACTCAACCCATTCTATCGTGGAATTGATATCCGAACATATGTAGATATCTTTCGTATTCGACTTGATAAAGGGATCATTCAAACCAACAAACGCGGTACCCTTCTTGTTTAGTAGATTAGGATCGTAGATTATTTTCTAATAGAACTTGGGAACGGGAACGGCTCTAGTCGTGTCATTGACATAGAGATATATCTTCCTGTTTGCTATGAGCATTGGCCAAGGTCATTTGACCGTGTGCACCCGTGTAAACATCTAGATTCAAAAAACGATCGATAGATCGTAGTTCTAAAGTTTCTGACTCTGCTCTCAAGAATTTTCCAGTTGCCAGCATTGAAAGAC